TTATTATCCTGCAAGTTATGTATAGAGTATATGGTACTTTTCTGCTAGATCAAGCACCAACAGACTAGTGGAACATGACTTACCAGTACATTAAATATATGATCCCTTCATCCCATATGTCTGTATCTAATATGGAAGTTTTGATTCTTTGTCTATCTGAACCGTGTAACATTCTTCAGGGAATTAAAATTGTTTTATTAATTTTATTATGGTTTTCAAATGTACAGGCTTTTTTTTTTGCAATACATAGCATTACCTTATCTGTAATTTTATATAATTTCAAAATAACTTTATATATGATATAATATATTAATTAAATATCCCTGACACAATAATGTAAAAGAAGATTTATAATGTAAATATGCATGTGTAATATACTTGAGATTTAGACATCGTTTTCTTGTTTATTTTGTTATTATTTGTTGATAATTCTGGAGCCCACCCATCTTCCTATCTTGTAGATACTAGAGGCTGAGGTTACTTCCTTGAGGATGAAGTGTGAAATTCTGAGATCTAGATTGCATGAAGCTATATTTCCATATCCCCAATATGCCTTCATAATGTTGCATAGGCACAGGGGCACCTACTTTCATGTTAATACCAAATAACAATGATTCACCTATGAATATTTTATTGTATTCATGAACACTTCCTCTTGATCTTAGCAGATTGTTGTTGCCTCTTGAACATTGGTCATAGCATTTTCCTCTCTGATCAAAACAAGCCGTTACCCAACATTAAAGACATCTTTGAAAGAAAATAGAAATAATCTAGGCCTCTGAAAAACAAGTGAAGAATATGTACCTTTCTGATCTTCTGACAGAAAAAAAGTATCTTCCACTGACCTTAAAAATGAATACCCTTTTCTTAAATATCAGTACACTATTCCCCATAATCAGTTAGTTCAGATTATAATATGACTAAAAGCAAATTACTGGTTTATTAAGCCACCTAATAGTAAATTGTCACTTATTTCTAATGAGCAGAATTAGTTAATAGAATATTTTTCTGCCACAGAAATAATGCCTGTAAGATGATCAGTATTTCTTCTGAAAATGAATGTTAAACTCTATATACCAATAATATACAGTATAATGATATTAATTAACTAGGAGGCTGTTATATGCTGGATGTATTATCAGTCTTAAACAAAGCACATGTGGTCCAACATAATTTTCATCCATATATATTTTATCCCATCTTATCCTGAAAACCAATTTTCAAATCTAAAATTTGTGGCCCCTTCAGAATAAAAAATTGGCCACCCCTCCACAGTAATGTGTGTAGCATGCTGCAGGTATAAACTGAACACTGTACATTTGACAGTGTTCTAGAAGCCAGTACATGCTATTCACAGTACAGTCACATTCTACAGCGTATGGGTGGAGTGGGAACTGTATGCAGTAGAGCATATCTCCCTTCTCAAGGACAACTTAAATATGTGACACTGTATGTTTCTCGTGACTGTACACCTTTATTGTTTCCCCACTGTTGTCTTACCTACCGCAATTTCTCTTTCAGGCAAGACGGTCTGTATGTAGTTGGCAAGTTTCCAACTCTCACTCACCTAATGACAAACAGCCTACACCTCCAGTCAGACTGGTTTTACAAGACTTCACTGACTGTTATCATGGTATTACCTGCCACATAAATTACCTTTCACGCATGTTTGTAAGTTAGATCATGATTTTGTGAAAATGTTGTGCAAACAGAAGATTTGGATGTGGTTGCTTATTTTACCCAAGAAACTGTGAAGCTTTTAAATTTGAAACTGTGAAATCAGTTTTGTGCTGACAAGGTTGTGTAGTGTGTTATGGATTTTTAGCCTGTGCTGATGCGAAAAGATACTTCACTTACATGCAAGCTTCTTAAGTATAGGTGCAATAAGAATCTATGTAAGTTATTAATTAATGCATGTGGTAACAGATACTTGACAATGTTATATATTAATTGGGGATCATGAGATAATTACCGTATTTAGGTCATGAACGTAATGATTACGATATATATATCGTATATCACGCACCTGGTATAGCCATATAAACTGATGTATTTGACTGGCTGTCACAATATTCTGCCCCTAAGTTAATGACATAAACAGATGATACTGATGTAAAATGTGGGTTTCTCCCAAATTAAACTTTAATTATTTGCTAACTTTTAGTATCACATGTATATTTATAGGATGGGATGGGCAGGATATGCAGCATGCATGGGGAGAAATTGAATGTAGGATTTTAGTGGTAAAGCCATAAGGAAAGAGACCACCAGGAACACTTAGACGTAGGTGGGCAGATAATATTAAGATGGATCTGAGAGAAATATGATGGGGTGGTATGAACTGGATTCATCTGGCTAGGGTAGGGACCAGTGGAGGGCTCTTCTGAACACAGTAATGACCCTTCAGTTTCCATAAATCCTTGAGTAGCTGAGCAACTGGTGGCTTCTCAAAAAGGACTCAGCTCCCTGTAGTTGGTTCATTAGATGTCTAGTTGTATAGAAAGATAAACCTACTACTGCCTACACAAGGAGAAGAACCGATATTATTATTATTATTATTATTATTGGTAGTAGTAGTAGTAGTATCGCCATCTTGATCGTCGTCGTTGCCGCTGTTGTTACCAGCAATATTATTATTATAGCTTACTACTACTGCTACCACGAATACCACCATCGGTATTATTGCTGTGCATTAAAATAATAAAATCAGTGTGCCTGGTTACTAAAGTGATACAGGCTTACAACCGGTTACTGTAAACACTAAGTGTTAGTGTCGCTTTGTTTACTAACGTATAAATTGATAAACAATTTGATGTGTGTGTGCAGTACCGCCCTTTTCATTAAAATCTGTACCTCCAAATCGCTATACGTCTTCTCGGTATGGTGCTAAGCAGGTTGGAAAGGAAGGGTAGACGCAAGTAGACGCTGCCTACTTACTATCATGGCTCTTCATTTTGAGGTAAACGCTTTCCAGTGCATTAACCATCGTTCCCACGACGATACATGTACGAACAAAGTCACGCACCTGAATTGTAATAAATTGGCCATTCTCACAGACTTTTCAGCTGATCTGGAGTGTCTACCTAGTTCTGAAAAGCCATTTCCACCCTTGGTGTCTACACCGAGGAAGAGTTTTATCTCACTTTGCATTTTTATTTGAATTATGTTGTTTCAAACTGATATGTTCTTGTTGAGCCGGATGGTTAATTCATCCAACTTCCAAATGAACTGAACAATTTGAGTTCATTCATCGCGGACAAGTCGTGATCCACCCAGCCTTTCAAAGTGTCAAAGCTTAAGGCCGACAATCCATCTCCATTTAATTTTGAGCTTGAATTTGTTGAGCGTTACCACCATGTCACCTGTATAACTTCATTTGCCTGGTGCTTAGGCGCAGATGATGTGATAAGCAATTGCTTGTCTCCATAATCATCTATTTCATAAATTAGAAAGCAGATTCTACGAGTAATATCAAACACAGCAGATGCTTAAACACAGGTTTCTTGTCAAATGCGTCATAGTGTTGTTCTTATAACAGTATATTTACGTGTATAATATTCACGCAGAGGCAGATAAATCTGACTTGACGCTTCGCTTCTACATATAAAGATCGTACTCGTATAAGAGACATAAAGTTGCGGCGTCAGTGAGCAACCGCGTAAAGAATTCGGCCATGTTCCATACGGATTTTGAGTGTTATGAGTTTCTTAATCCCCGAAGTCATATATCCGTTTTCTGTTAAAAACGTAGGGGTTCCGAAGTATGTCACGGATTTAAGGAATAAAATTTCCGAGTCGTGTCCTTCAAGAAAAACGCTTAGTTACGTCATGATTCTCATAACTCGCACATAAATTCCATATAGCGTCACGTGCATTCATGAACGCAAAGAATTTCAAGTGACGGTTTTCATCTGTCGCATTGTTTGCCGCCTTCATACAATTTTACCGGATCGGTAATATGTTTTAACATAAACGTACTTCAAAGGCGTCCTCCTAAATTTATTGCCTGAAAGCAAGAATACTTTTAAATTCAATTACAAATACGGCGATACTGCTATTATATTTAACGGTACAAAACTATCCAGTAGCAATTGTACCGAAGAAGCTCCCCATTTGTGAATTGCAAATTTCTGTAACAAAATAGGCCAGAGCCTATTTTTCTTTATAATTATAAGTCATGGTTTTCTAAACATAATTCACCCAAAAAAAAATAAAACAGTGACAAAGGGCTTCTTAATTCTATTGAGATGGAGGGCGGACTGTGGGGTAGGCTTATATGTAATTAAATTCAGGTTAATTTTATTCATCCTTTTTAGTAGTCAAACATAGGTAAAGCTATCCATGTAATAGACCGTGAAGGCCAACAGGATTGTGAGACGTCGAGGATCCCACATTTTCTCAAGACAATCGGCACACAGATGGCGGTAAGTTTGTGAGCCTTATGCACCAGCCGCCTTTACCCCCTAGTAAGATTCCTGGTAGTCATTTGTGTTAGAGGCTGGCAGCTGGAAGGATTAGGTAAATTGTAAAAAAAATCCACCTCATCAGGACTCGAACCTGTGACCTTCTGGTTTGTAGCATTAGTGCCTCAAGCAGCTATGCTACTGCGTGCCCCCAGCAAAAAATAGGATTCATCTTGTATACACCCATACACATCTAAAAGTAACATAAGGAATTCAGCTAAGTTCCTTCAAGCTACCACTAAATACAGGTACAATTCATAAAAACAAATCAACTCAAATATCATATTCTGCTAATTTAACATGACAAATACTCATCTACAGAGTAAAATTTGTGTCATAATAAGCAGGATCTCAGCTCTGTTTTAAACTGCCTCATTTGTTCCACTTCTGTAATTTTATTTTGTAGTTTATATTAATACAGTAGGGGCAAGATTTCTCCCTTCTCCACATCATCCAGACTGGTTCTGGGGCCAACCCAGCCTCCTATCCAATGGGTACCAGGGGCTCATTGCCCAGGGATAAAGTAGCCGGAACATGAAGCTTTTTACTCTCTCCAACTAGTCCTGAGGTTAAGAATATGTGGATCTGTATGTCTTCATGGAGCAATGTTTAATTATTTAAGCACAGAGACAACTTTAACTTCACCTTAATTTATTTGGTAATTTGATTCACATATTCATTACACATTTCTTGAGGATGTTTGCTCTGAAAAACTGAACATGGAGGTTTACCTTTTGGCATATACTACGATTATAAATTTTCAGCACTTTTTTCCTCTTTCTGTGTGTGTGTGTGTGTGTGTGTGTGTCTATATATAGTGATCAGACATTGTGTGAGACCACTCCTCTACTCCTCTACTTCTGACTGATGACTTTACCTTAAAAAGAGGACTACAGTATGTGATTTTAACACGAACTAAGACAGTGTAGCAGTTTTAACACAGTTTAATAAAATATTTGTAACATATCAAGACACCTGAAGATGGCCGTTTGGGGCCGAAACATGTAGAGTCGAGGTGTATGATGTTCTTGTATCTTGGTATCTTGTGACTCATTCTATATCCTATGGCTTGTATTATGCCTGTATGAGGATCAATTAGAAAGTGAAATAAATGGAATGGAATGGAAACTAAAATTGAGTGGTGAATGGAAGAGTGTTGCAATATTGACGGATGATAAAGAGTGGATGTTAAGTTACCAAACACTATAATAGCTAATGTTTGTCATATTTTCTGATGTGGGGGGAAGTACATTGTTTTCCACAGTTATGATCTTTGAATACTTGCAGGATTCACTTTTTTACGATTTTCTGGATGCTGATCATTAGCCAGTAATACCAGTTTTGGGTGCAGTTTGAAAAACAAAAGAAATAACCTGCTTTTATTTTAATCCTTTTTCCTCCAGTAACTGCACCCAAACCTCTTGACTTCTTTTGATTTAACTCAGTATGGTATACAAATGCTAAATGCTGTTCAGTCACTTTGATTTTTAATTGGTTCATTTTAAGATTCTAAGCCTTCTGTGTTTCTGAACTTTATCCATCATCTAGTATTCTAAAATAATTCAATGTTCTGGACAATGGACCTGTTTCCATCCTCAGTAATCTTGGATGTAATACATCGTCTTCAGAATCCTTTAGTATTGCCTAATGTTCAGTACATTACTAGTGATTACAGAATTATAGTCATGTGCTGCATGTGTATGTGGTTGTGTTACAGTTGCATTTTCCATTATATGCACTGGAACAACTATTCGATGTTTCTTCATTTCTAGTAGTCCCAGCCGAATTACTTTGTGTTACATTTCATTCATTTAATATTCTCTTAATTGTTAAAATTAATTACCAATCAGGTTACACCAGCAGTAAAGCCTCCTGGAATGTCAGCCAGAAAACAGATATCCTGCAGATTTTCATGGCTTCTCTATGTCCCTCCGGGAAAACTCTTGGATAGTACATCATTTAGACCATGACCGCTTCCTTCCATATCCTTTCCAATTCATCAATCATTTAATCTGACACTTTATAGTCCCAGTACTGACACAGTCAATAAAGAATCGACTTAAAAAAATGAAAATCAAAATCTGTTGTTTCAGAGAAACTGTAATGAGGATTTCATTGTAATAATATTTTTTTTTAAATATAGTGTAACATGTTGCGCAATGGAGGAACCCCCCCCCCCAGCAGTGACGCGGCGGGTGAGTCAGCGCTCCGTCACCCCC